TCTTTTGTTTGGCTGGAAACCACAGGTGTGGGTTCAGTTCCAGACCTGAAGGGCAGCTAGGGGCCATAGTCTCAGTGGTTCCACCAGGCATTATCGGACTAGCAAACCTGGTCCCCACCATTTTTTTTCTCAAAATGATTTTGAGTTTTGTTCCACTTTGTTTTCCCTCTCTATCAAGGATCTCCTACATAGATCCCCTTCCAAGGATATCCTTGGAATTTTTAAAAAAATTGTTATGAATCTCACATTCATACTCACTCCAAGCTCAAGCTCACTGTCATGAAGTCGTTTCAGACTCATAGTCACCACAATAGGGTTTCCAAGGCTGTAAATCTTTACAGAAGCAGACTGCCTCATCTTTCTTCTGCAGAGCAATTGGTGTGTTTAAACCACTGACCTTTTGGTTAGCAGCCAAATGCCTCAACCACTACACCACCAGAACTCCTTTCATACTCACTGGAAGCCCTTAATTGAAGGAATAGTAACCTCTAATAAGTAATATTCATAAGACTACCATATCCAGCAGCCATTGTGCCTCTGGCATTAGTCAATAAATAAATGACTGTGTGGTTATGAGTAGAGTTTTCTCTTTAGAATGCTTCACATGGCTTTCATATGAAAAATCATTTATGTTACTGGTGGCTAAGCAGCAGTGACAAACACACGTCCTCTAAATCTTGAGAAACTGGCATATAACTAAGTAAAGTTGTAACTAATTCTTGTTTTATTGATCAGGTCATTAGTTCACATTCATCGTATGTAACACGTAGAGTAGAAAACTCTTCATTATCATGACACCCAAAGAGGCAACACAAACTCCCGGAAAATATGCTTTGTTGTGTCTAATTAAAAAAAAAAGCCCCAAAAAAATAATGTTAGTTTCTAATTGTCCCATAATTTATTTTTTAAAAAAGGGTATTGTAGATTAGGGCTATTAATGCAGTTTCCTTTCAGTGTTTGAATTTCTAATATATTCTTGCTATTGGTTCAATAGTATGTTGATTTTTTTGTTATGAAATATACAAAATATACAGATAATAATACAACAAATAGCTTTGTACTCAGCTAGCCATCTTTATCAAGTCTTAGCATTTTCCCTATTTGCTTAATTAAAAAAAGATAAAGCATTATAGATATACCTGAAGACTTCCAGGTATCCCTTACCAATTATATTCCCTCCCCCTTTTTTCCAGAGCAAACCATTATCTTGAATTTGGCATTTTTCATTCCCATGTATGTTTCTGTATTTTTACTACATATTTGTTGTTGCTCTTATTGCCGTCAAGTTGATTCTGACTCCTGGTGACCTCATGTGTTTCATAGGGTTTTCAAGGCTGTGACCTTTCAGAAGCAGATCGCCAGGTCTGTCTTCCAATATACCTCTGGGTGGATTTGAACCACCAACCTCTTGGCTAGTGGTTAAGCCCTTAAACAAAGTATAGTTTTACACATTTTAAAACTACATTATACTATATATATTCTTCTACAGCTTGTTCTTGTGACTCAATATTTGTTTTTGAAATTTATTTCCAGTACCATAATGAGCTATGTAGTATTCCATTGCAGAAAAATACCATAATTAATTTATCCATTTTCCTGTTGAATAGTTTGAAATATGCCCAGAGCACTCTCCATAACACAGATTTACCCTCCAAAACAAAAACAAAACCAAACTCACTGCCACTGAGTCAGATCCAACTCAGTGACCCCTCCTTGGGTTTCCAACGCAGTATCACTACAGAAGTAGATTGCCCAACCTTCCTTCCAAGGAGTGGCTGGTGGATTTGAACTGCCAGCCTTCTGAAGTTAGCAGTCACATGCCTTAGGCAGTACCCACCAACCTTATCTGACCTGGGGGAGATATAATTGGCCAACTCTAGCCCCTCCTCTAGTCTTGATGTCTCAGATAAGAGAAAGAATAAAAAGACTAAGAAGTGCCTCTGAAGGTCACAGCCCAGGTATGCAGGCCCAATAATAATAATAATAATAAACCACTGAGATTTAATCATAAGATCATAGAATGCTTACCCTGCCCAGACCTTATGACCTTATCAGTAGGGTTCTAGTATAGTAACAGTGGATTATAGTTGAAAGAGCTGTAAAACTCAAACTCTATTTAAGGAGTTTTTATGGAAATGCAGAAACAATGGGGGAGACAAAAACAAGGACACTCAAGGTAATTGAATGAACCTTGTTGTTAGTTGCTGGTGACCTTATGTATAACAGAATGAAACATTGCCTAGTAGTGTACTATCTTCATGATTATAGTTATTTTTTAGTTCTTTAGACAATGGTATACTCAGTATTCTTCACCAACACCACAGTTTGAGTGCATCAGTTCTTCTCTGTCGTCCTATTTCATTATCCAAATTTTACATGCATATGAGGCAATTGAAAAGACCATGGCTTGGGTCAGACACACCTTAGTCATCAACGTGACATCTTTGCTTTTTAAAACTGTAAAGAAGTCTTTTGCAACAGAGTTGCCTAACACAATATGTTGTTTGATTTCTTGACTGCTGCTTCCATTTATGTTGATTGTTCATCTGAAGAGAATGAAATTGTTGACAACTTCAATTTCTT